TGGCTATGGGAGGGGGGGGGGGGATAAAAATGAATGGAGGAAATGGCAGAGTCCATCTCTGCTGTTGTAACTACGTGAAATCTACTGTAACTTGCTCAGTGATAAGTCATCCTGGATATTCCACAGGCGAATTGACAAATTCACAGGGAATAATAAACATTTCAATTGTCTGAGGGTGTAACACTTGCGAAAAAATAGTGAATTTCAATAATTTATTCCAATTTCTTCTTGTTTTCAAAAAGGTAGGGTGGTATGAAATATATCAAGCGATGTTAGCATGGAATAAGATTATTTTTAATATGTTTTCAACAACAACAGGTACAATAAATCAGTTTACCTGTAGTATACACGGTGGTCGTATCTGTCATTCGGCTTCTGTCTGACTTGTTCCCGTTTTTTTCCCTCAAAAATGTTCTCCTCAATTTTTTTTTCTCTCTTCCCGACTAAATCCTCCCAATCTCACTCTATACGACTCTTCTCCACCGTCACAAAAAGCATTCTACCCCTTCCCTCGTTCACTTTTTTTTGTATTTCCTCTGTTTTCTCTAATAAGATTAATTTCACTTAAGAATAATCTCATGTTTAATTCATTCAATAAATTACGGTTATAAACTACACATTTTTCTAATGTCGGATTGGGCTATCTAGCGGTTTTGGTGGAACTCGGGATAATTATTTCCTCCAACGAGCAACAATCCTTGTCTCTGTATCACATACAAGGATAAGATATATTATTTGCAAATAACATTATTGCTTATTTATTGATGAAATAAATAGGTCAATGTTTGCTCGAAGGAATGCATTGCAGGGCGAGCTTGGTTGAATGTGTACTACAATCGAAGCATTTGTTGACACATAAAATAATAACATGTATTACAAACCAATAAATCAACTTATTACGCAAATATCGCTAAAACTTAGACAGTATTAAATGATTATAATAAATAAATTACTACAAAATATGAGATTTGTTCATTCGCATTTAAAATGTTGACTGTATCATCGTTATTCTCAATTGTATAAAGGACTAGAATCATTGTTTTTTTATTCTCATTGATGAAGCATTTTGGAGATTGAACAAATCTTTAAGAATAACATGGCACATCTGAAAATAAAAATAACTAAAATTTGAATATTCTACGATGTGAGTCTTTCATATTGTAAGTATACAAGCTAGTGATATTATTTTAAGTTACCTTCTTCATTTATCACGTGAGATATTATCATTTCTACTCACTACAGACTACATTGTTCATCTCTTTTACCACTGAGACCGCGAGGAATCTCTCGATATGGTATTTTCCATCGACATTTTAATCAATGCAAATAATTACGACAATTGAGATTCCTCTCCTCTCTTTTATCTAAGTGCGACACTACAATCGACAACGCGTGTAATGTTTACTTGAAATGTATTTTCTTTAACTAGGGTTTTCTCTAATTAGACTTACTAAAGCTTAATCACTCATTATCATTTATTTACAAAAAAATCTCTTATGCTCTTAGGCACATGGGGAAAAGAATGAGGGATTCTTCTAGATAAAATGAGGAATGGGGGTGGAAAAGGTGATATTATTTCTCGGGGCTTTCTCTCCCTTTTGAAAGGGAAAAAATACTAGGATCTTATTATCCTGTGTAAGAAAGATTAAATAAGATGTTACAGAAAATGAGCCGCAACGAGCACTGGGATGAGATTGAAAAAATATATTATATCTTATTCAATAATTATGATTTTTTTTGGTTTTTTCTTCTTCTCCATATGTTTAAAAGTTCTTCATTATTTACAGGCACGTGAAGTGTCAAACTTTATTATTCAGATAAAGGGAGTTGATACTATGGAATGTAAAGAGCTCAATTCATTAGACGACTAGAATTTCAAATAATTTAATAGTAAAAAGTATTAGTAATATTTAAAATAATCGAGCAATATTAATCTATCTCCCTTTATCCTCTCTGAGAATGAAAGAACTAAAATTCACGTGAAATATATTTACAATTAATCTCATCAGGTTTCACTTTAACGATACGGAAAATCTTTCGAATAATACTCCTCCAAAATTGATAAGTCTTGTGAAGTGGGGGTGGGTTCGAGTGAGGGAATTACACAATTCGAGTAGATTATTATCGATTGCATAGTAATTCACTGGATTTCAGTACTGAATCTCAGTGTACCAGACCAATTAACTGTTTTTTTTGTCATTTACCAATAGTACATTATCAGCATGCTTGCGAGTGTATTTACACTTGCAAGTAATTGGCTCATCTCTTGTTGACTTCTCAGTGGTACATTCCAATGCAACTGTACTGTATCCAATGAATCGAGTTAACTGGGCTCGCCACCCAGAGGAATCCTTACTGGCTAAATCGTGAAACCCGTTGATTATTATTTTCATTTTTTTTTTCTTTTTCATGTAATCGTACTGGAAGAACAAGACCCGGTCATTAATTCCGGCTTAATTATTATTTCTCATGATTCATCAATTATTCTTCTCTTCACTTTAGCAATTTTCAATAATTATTAAAAGGAAAGGCGTGGGTCCCATGTCCAAAGTGCCTCGAAACTCTCTCACTAAATTATTTTCCATACTTTTTTTTCATCTAAATTCAACTTTATCTCTCCATTCAATGGACTCTATCAACGCGAACAAGCATATTAGTATTTTTTTTGTTATCACTTACATTGTCAGTCATATGATTTTACAACAATGATGAGGCGTAAATAACGTGATGATAAAAGAAAAGTCACAGTAAAGACACATAATTTTTACTGATCCATCAATGTTTCCTTTTCAATGACTACATCGCATGCCATCGAGTGCCAAAACATAAACCAATTGAGGCAAACATCTCCTCATAGTTAGTGCAATTGTTCTTTTACACATGCAATGTGCACTCCAGTGCAATATCTAAGATTCCTGGCTCTTGTCCAGAATATTTCAACAGCAATTTCTGGATGGTCACACACGCACACACATGTTATACAGTTTTAGGAGATACATCTACACATTTTACAGGGTACACATGACGCTGAGTATGAAGGAAAAAAAATGATTGTGATGGTACTAGTGAAGTCGTGCCAACAGGTTCAAGGTCTGCCTCTCATCCTCCCTCCTCTACTCATTATCCGTCCAATTTCTTGACATCTGTTATATGGAAATTAGTCTTTATCCCACCTCCTTCATTTCCGTGTCCTTCGATCCGTGCTTTGCTCTCTCTAGTAAATAAATACCAACAAGAAGATGCCAGACTGATGTATTATCTATACAAAGACCTGAGATACCTACTTCAAAGCCAACTACTTTTACCTACCGTCTACGTGTTTGGAAAAAAAAATGTAATTCAATTCTTACCTGATGATGAGGAAGATCATCTCGGTGTGTCGGAAGCACTCTTGCCGTCGGATGTACCAGAATTTTAATACTCGTTTAAAATTTTCTTTTCTTTTCTTTTTTTTTTTCCATAATTTGAAGGAGCTATTAAGGCACTCGGGGTAAGTGTAAAGATTCAGGGGAATTATTGGAGTATTCCTCATTTCTATCAAATTACTAGAGCCTACTTTACCTCCAAAAAGCTTTCTTGTAGAGCATAATGAACGTCTATTGACACATACAAGATACTTGTCGATTTCACGCCAATTAAACTCTGATACTGATGAATTGGATATGTACAGGGATGAGTGGTTAATGGATTAGGGGAGACGGATTGAGCTGATGAATTAGGTATTTAGGTATTACTTTGCATGGTTAGAGGTGCCGGAGTCTAGCTAATGCATGCTCTACACAATTCCTGCTGGTGTACACTTTAGACCGCACTTTCTTTGTGAAATGAAGATAATAAAACACAGAAAATAAAAATAAAACGAAATTCAAGGGTCCCGAGTTACAGCTCTTGGTTGGTCTAGTGTACTTTCGAGTTTGAGAATGCACTCGAGTGCTCCAAGAATCATGTGTTATAATGAGATGAAAAGGGTGGAAAAATGGGAGAAAGAGTATTGTTGTTTTTTCAGCAAAATGCAATTCCGAATAAACGAGTTTGGTAAATGGACCAACCGGAGTGCAACGTGGAACGAGATTGGGAATTGGAAGAGGGGGTGGGGGG